ATGGACTAATCCAACTTCTTTTCCTACTCCTAGTGGCTACGATCGTAGAAATTACAACATGGATCCTGTCCTGACTAGTCTTTTGCAGGTTCCCGAAGTCGATGGCCCTGTGGCAGCGCTTTCATCTTTGTCTCCTTTCATCTCAGGGGACACTTCTGAGGGGCTTAAGCCGGAAGACCGTAAGTTTGATTCTTCTTTCAAGAAGGCTCACCAGGCCTCAGCTTGGGCAATTCAGGCCGCTACTGCGGCCTCATTCTTTTCACGGTCATCTCTTTTATGGCTCCAGCAGCTTCAGTCCCGCTTACCAGCCCAGGAGGCCAGAGTCCATCAGGACCTAAATAAGATAATAGCTGCCACTCAATTCACCTCGGATGCCACGTTAAATGCTGCCAAATTTGCCTCGCGGGCTATGGCTTCTTCAGTCACTTCCCGTCGCCTTTTGTGGCTTAAGCCTTGGCAAGCTGACCTCAAGGCCAAATGGCGTCTAGCTTCTACACCATATTCTGGGCCTAAATTATTTGGTGCTTCCCTTGAACCATTATTAGTGGAGGACAGGGATAAAAGGAAGGTCCTTCCTTCCATTACTAGACGAGCTGATCGCAGGGCTACCCCCCTACTATCGCAGGCCCCCGGCCCGTAATTTTTTCCAGGAGGGCCCCAGTCAGAGACCTTACTCACAGGGTTCCTTTCGTCCCCAAGATAGAGGTTCCTACAGGGATAAATCCAAACCCTTCGCCCCTCAGAAACGGCCCTTTCGTGGAACTGGCGGACGTCAGTTCCGCCGCCAAAAGTGACTCTCGCTTGATAGCTCCCATTGGGGGGAGGTTGAGCCTGTTTCTCCCCGAATGGGCTCGCAGTACGACAGACCAATGGGTTCTTCATATCATCGAATTCGGCCTCCCATTGGAGTTCCTCTCCCGCCCTCCGAGCCGCTTCGTGCCTTGCCCTGTCTCCAGCTCCCTCAGCAAGCGAAAATTGATGGAGATCGCCATTCAGCATCTTCTGGAGATCAGTGCTGTGGAGGACGTCCCTCGGGAGCAATGGAGGCAGGGATTTTACTCGATTCTTTTCGTGGTTCCGAAGCGCTCGGGGGGATGGAGAGCGATCCTAAATTTAAAATCCCTGAACACCCATTTAGTGTACCGCAAGTTCAGGATGAGTACGCTCAAATCTATCCTGGAGGGAATAAGACCCGGAGACTTCCTAGCCTCAATCGATCTCTCCGAGGCGTACCTTCATATACCTATAGAGCCAGCTCACCGGCGGTACCTCAGGTTCAGCTACGCGGGGCGTCACCTACAATACCGGGCCCTTCCATTTGGCCTGGCATCGGCCCCGCGCAGTTTCACCAAGATTCTGGCAGCCTTGATAGCTCACCTGCGGTCCGTACCAATTCGAATTCAGGCTTATCTGGACGATATTTTAATACAAGCCTCGTCCTTCGACAGAGCCAGAACCAATGTGTTTCTCACTTTGCAAATATTACAGAATCATGGGTTTCTAGTCAACGAGCCCAAGAGTCAGTTGGTCCCTCAACAGCGCATAAATCATCTAGGCGCAGTCATAGACACGCAGGTGGGACAGGTGTTCCTCTCCCAGGAGAGGAAAGACAGCCTCAGATCTCTGATTCGGCATCTGTTACAAGATCCGACAGCTCCCAAGCTAGAATTGTCCCGTCTCCTGGGGAAACTAGCCTCATGCACAGACATAGTTCCCTGGGCTCGGCTTCATGCCCGCAGCCTTCAATGGCTGCTACTCCCCTATCAGCGGGCAAGGACAGCAGCCTCCAAATCCAAGATCAGGGTCCCCCTGTCAGTACGCCGGTCTTTGCACTGGTGGCTATCCCCGGCTCTGGACAACGGATGCGTCTTCTTGGACACACATCCACTGATTATGACTACAGACGCCAGTCTGACGGGCTGGGGCGCGCACCTGGGTTCCCAGGTCGCTCAGGGGCGATGGTCCCCGACAGAAGCGAGGTCAAGTATCAATCTTCTGGAACTCAGGGCCATACGCTTAGCTCTTCTGACCTTTCATCAGACGGTGCAGGGACAACACTTACTAGTGCTTACAGACAATGTGTCAGCAAAGGCACATGTCAACCGCCAAGGGGGGACAAGGTCCAAGACCTTGATGCAGGAGGCTCTTCTTCTCGGGAGGTGGGCGGAATCCCACCTTCAATCCCTCAAGGCGGATCACATTGCAGGGAAGGACAACCTTCAGGCGGACTATCTCAGCCGCACCACGATAGACGCATCAGAATGGCGCCTCAGCCCCGCTCTGTTTCGGGACATCTGTCTCCGGTTCGGCCAGCCACAGGTAGACCTCCTTGCATCCCCAGAGAACGCACAGCTACGCCGATTCTTCACGCGCTACCCATCGCGGGGGGCAGAGGACACAAACGCTCTCCGTTGCCCCTGGCCTCAGGAGCTACTCTATGCGTTCCCGCCGATCCCATTGATTCCGCGGGTCCTTCGCAGAATTGTGGCCGAGAGAGCGGATGTGATCTTCATCGCTCCCTATTGGCCAAGAAGGCCATGGTTCTCCGACCTCGTAGCCCTCTCAACGACGGACCCTTGGCGGCTCCCTCCGGAGAAGGTGTCCCTCAGTCAAGGGACAATTCTACACCCAGAGCCCCAGTGGCTCAACCTAACCGCTTGGCGTTTGAAGGGCTGCTCTTGAGGGAAGCGAGGTACTCAGAAGATGTCATCCGGGTGATGCAGGCTGACAAGAAAGAGTCCACCATCAGACTCTACAACATCACGTGGAAGGTATTTATTTCGTGGTGCTCTGCGCGCGAAATTAACCCATTGTCAGCTTCTGTTCCGCAGGTGTTGGAGTTCCTCCATGATGGCTACAGCAAGGGTCTAGCGCATAATACCCTCAAGCGGCATGTTGCAGCTCTCGCCACGGTGTTGTCTCCCAGGGACGGCGTGCCCCTGTCTCATCACCTTTCCATCCGGAGATTCCTACGTGGGGTACGAAATCTGCGTCCACCCGTGGTACACCGATATCCCACATGGGACTTGCCACATGTATTGTCAGCCTTGACAGGTCCACCCTTCGAACCTCTCCGGACTGCCTCCCTTAGATTTCTAACCATGAAAGTGGCCTTCCTGGTGGCCGTAACTTCGGCTCGCCGCATTTCTGAACTGGCAGCTCTATCAGTCAGGCCAGACTTATGTGTGATACACCCAGATAGGGTAATTCTTAGACTGGACCCGGCATTCGTGCCAAAAATTAACTCACGGTTCCATCGTGAACAGGAAGTGATCTTGCCTAACTTTTGCCCAAATCCATCTCACCCGCTAGAACACAAATGGCGGACCCTTGATGTTCGCAGGGCTTTAAAAATATATATCTCTCGGACCGCACCTTCAAGACGCTCCGAAGCCCTATTTATTTCCTTTCAACCTTCATCTTTGGGATCCAAAGTTTCTTCTGCCACCATAGGGCGTTGGATCCGAGCTTGTATTTCCAAAGCTTATGACTCACGATCTCTCCCCATTCCACGTCATATTACAGCTCACTCCACACGGAGTGCAGCTACTACCGCCGCTTGGGCCACGCAGGCCTCCCTCGAGGAAATTTGCCGGGCAGCTACCTGGGCCTCTCCTGTTCCATTCATCAAGCATTACCGTTTGGACACCTTTGCCTCCGCCGAGGCAGCCTTCGGACGGAGAGTCCTCCAACAGGTTCACCTGGCACCTCGACATCGACCTTCGCAGACCTCCCGCCCGACGAAGTAGCAAGCTTGGGTATGTCCCACTTCTGACCCACTCCGCATCCCAGTGGGAGAAGAGGCGTTGGACTTGCCGTGAACGCTCTTTCTCCAGGGGATGCGGAGTGGGTCAGCCCCTCCCGTCTGCGATTTCTCCTTTGTATTTTCTAGGCTTGAGACTGTTTTGCAGATCTGCCTTCGTCGAACAAACTGGAAGGAAGGGAGGCCTGAGTAGGCGTGGCCAAGTTTATCCGACTCAGTGATTGGCCAGACGAGCTGGATCATCCCACTTCTGACCCACTCCGCATCCCCTGGAGAAAGAGCGTTCACGGCAAGTCCAACGCCTCATTTCTATGGTTTTGAGTGTGTTTAGTTCAAGATTGTTCCGGTCACACCACAAAGCTAGTTGTTCAACCTCCCATCTGTATGCAGATTCGTTGTTGCCTCAAATGAGACCAATCACTGTTGTATCACCTGCAAATTTCAGTACTTTAACAGGGGGATCTTTTGAGATGCAGTCATTGATATATAGAGAGAAGAGAAGCGGAGAGAGCACACAGCCCTGGGGAGTTGTAATGTAATATAATGGATGAGATACTCACAGGAACAGATGAGAAAATGATTGAAAAATTATATATTTACTCCTCTAAATTTATAACTGGCAATAAAGAGGTTAAAGTTTACAGATAACCGGCGGCCTTTGTCTTTATGTATGTGGTGTGTATATATATTTATGTGTGATTTTTTCCTGGAAGGAAATTTTTCTAATTTCTAATTTCTAATTTTCTAATTTTTTCTCTTTAAAAGTCTGTTTAATAAGTAAATTCCTGATAATATAAACAGATTTAATTGCAGATAAAACTGCCTTTTTCTGCATCTACACCCCATAAATTTAGAGGCACATATACTTAAGCAGACCCCATACCAACTTGAATCCTGTTTTCTATGATTTAGAAATCAAGCAATATGTGGCTGTACTTTGTGAAATAATTAACCATAAAGATTACTTTAGCTGTGATCCCAAAGAGGTATAAGTATGATTGCAGTAATTCACAGATTTTTTTCAATATTATTAAACAATCAGTGAAAAAGAGAATAAAGATTCTATTTCTTCTCTTCTCACATTTACATACATAGAGCAGCCAAATGTAATGAATTATAAAACATTTAGGATTGATACAAAAATAAAACTTAATGCACAATATATAATTACAATGGAGCTAACAAATTTTCTTTTAATCAAATGATAGGGTTAATATTTATGGTTATTGTCTTGCAGTTTAACTCAACAGCAAAACAACTTATTGAACTAGACAAACCATCAGTTTCTACAGTAGATTCTGGAGAAGGCACCTCTGGTTCATCCCATTGCAATTCAGTTCAAAAGCATACTGATGTGAAAAAGAATACCAAAAAACGCCATTCTTTTACTTCCCTTACCATGTCCAATAAGGCTTCACAGTTGTCTCAGAATCGTCATTCAATGGAAATCAGCCCTCCTGTTCTCATCAGCTCCAGTAATCCAACTGCTGCAGCACGGATAACTGAGCTTTCAGGCCTTTCTTGTAGTGCACCTTCTCAGGTAATTCTAAATAGAAATCAAGGTATATCATGGCTTTTTAAATGACAGTTTAAAATATTGTCAAAATAAATGGGGTATAATTATTGATCTAAATATTTTTATAATTGTATTAAAATAAGCAAATCTTATTTATTAAAGGATAATCTTGAATTATTAAGCATTGTTATCTGAAGACAGCTGTTCTTGTCTATGGAGATTCTCAGTCATCCAGGTCATAGTTGTCCCAAAGGTGCTTTTTCAAGAGGCAACTGGACTTTCTTGTTTTTCTTTGAAAACGTTTCACTTCTCATCCAAGAAGCTTCTTCAGCTCTGACTGGATGGTGGGAATTGAAGGATTTATATTCCTTGCAGACAGCTGGTCATTTGCATTCTTTTAGAGAGTCGTTGAGGTGTAAGTGTGTCGTCAGGGTCACCTGAGTAGTGCAAATGGGTATGGAGCCTTCTTGGAATTGTTGAAAAGACTGTGTTGTAGACTAGAGATAGATGATGTCGTATCCTTCCCCCTTTGTGAATGCAGATGGACTGCTGAATCTTGTCCTGTTGGGTTTATTCTCCTATGTTGTGCTATGCGTTTATGAAGTAGTTGCTTTGTTTTCCTAATGTACAACATAGGAGAACAAACCCATCAGGAGAAGATTCAGCAGTCCATTTGCATTTAAAAGACAAAAGCCACTCTTTTGAAGACAGCAAAATCCACATTTTGGACAGAGTGGACCGCTGGTTTGAAAGAGGGGTCAAAGAGGCCATCTATGTCAAAATTGAACAGCCCTCTCTCAACAAAGGGGGAGGAATATGATATCATCTATCTCTAGTCTACAACACAGTCCTTTCAACAGTTCCAAGAAGGCTCAACACCCATTTGCACTACTCAGGTGACCCTGATGACACAGATAAACCTCCAGGTGACCTCAAGGAGTCTAAAAGAATGCAAATGACCAATTGTCTGCAAGGAATATAAATACTTCCATTCCCTACCATCCTGTCAGAACTGAAGAAGCTTCTTGGATGAGAAGGGTAATGTCTTCAAAGAAAAACAAGAAAGTCCAGTTGCCTCTTCAAAAAGCACCTTTGGCACAGCTGTTCTTGCTTTTTACATAAGGTTTTTTCCTTAGTGTAAATAGGTTATCTTTTAAATGTTTTCTTTTAAATGTTTTCTAGCTAACGTTAAATAAATTTATATCTTCCAGATATAAACAGATTGGAATGATTGTTCACCCTTCCCAAATTGAGAATTGGAGGAAAATTTGGGTACAGATAGTCCTTGACTTACGACTGTAATGAAGCCCATCAGAGTCATAAGTCACAACAGTTATAAAGCGGGCACCAACCCAGTTTTTCAAGCTGGGTTGAAGCTTGCCAAAAATGGTATTTGAAAGTGATACCACAATTAACATTGCAGTCTAGTAGACAGAGTTTGTTTATTCAGTATAGGAATGCATTAGAGAAAAAATCTTTGATTAAGTTGATAAAAGTACATTTATTCATTTAATTTATATTCCACCCATCTCACTATCAAGTGATTCTGGGCAGTTTACAATATTATATGGTACAATATAAAACAATTAAGAGTGTTAAAAAAATTAAGCATTAAAAATGCAATCATTAAAATTAACAAAAATGGATGAAAGGACCATTGTTACTATATTAATAAATTTCAAAGAAACCTCAAAAATATTAACAATAACTTTTATTTGTATTACATATTTGTACTTAAAATGAAATGCATATAAATTTAAGATTAGAAATAATTTATATTAAATATAAAAGTAATATTTTGTTGTAAAAGTATTTCACTTCGTTCACTTATGGAATGAATGGATATTCTGGATGGGACATTAATTATGTTTAATGTATCTGCTGTTAATAGGTTCACATTAGTACCACTGGACTAATTGTAACCCCACCACCCAGCAGTCCAGTAACAACGGGACATTCATTTACCTTTCCACCTGAAGTCACTTACCAAGCTGCTTTTGCTGTAAGTGTAAGTATCATTTCACAGAAGTTAGAATAGTAGTTGTGGAATTTTATCTCACTTGGCACTTTCTGTTTGAATTCTAGAAGCTATATCTTCTGTATTTACAGTGGTACTGCAATACTTATAATTGGTTCCTGGAGGCACGATGAGTACCAAAAACTATGAGTATTAAATAATTTTTTCCCATAAGGAAAATATAAAATAATAAAACATGCAGAAAATATTTTAGGAAAAGTCATTTGCTAAAATGTACATATTAAGAAATACATATACATTGACTTCCGGTTTCCCTGTCTTCGGCGATGGCGGCGCCTTTTGAAGCTCCGCCAGCCCCGCCGCCCATAGAGCCGCTCCGAGACGAAGAAGCGGCTCGAAAACTTCCAAATCCGTAGGATTGAGGAAGAAGAGATCGTAGGGCACAGGTCGAGCCCCTGCAACCCCCCAGGGAAGTTTCTGGGGAGAGAACAGGCGTGGCTCCCTCCCAACCTGCTGAAACTCCGGGCGACGTGGGACGATTCTGCTTTCGCAGAACAAGCCGGCTGCAGGAAACTCAAAGCGAAAAGAACCAGCTTTAATAAACAGCGAAATTACCTGAATTCTGAAACTTGGAAACGCAAGTATTAGCGCTTTGTTGACTTTTTAAACTGAGAAAAATGCGAATGAGTGAAAGTGCTTTGAAAAAACATGGCGTTCAGCCTTAGAGTTAACGAGCCAGCGAGTGTGGATTGGTGAAGTTATCTTGTTTTGTTACAAAGTTTCCAAGTTGCTACAAAGTTGCCTTGTTTGTAATAAGAGAAACAAGTGGAAAATTTCTCCCTTTTTAATACTTGACTTTGCTTTACTTCAACCTTTATTTGATCAAATCTGGGGGACTTTTTTAGAAGTCTTTGTGCAGGAGGGAAAGGAAAAGGAACTTCCCTCTTTAGAAAAACTAGATCACGTGGCAGGATGGCTTCAAAGAAGCAGGAAGGGAAGGCAACGGGGGGGGGATCCCCCACACACAAACATGAAACGCAGCTTCCCCCTGCTCAACAGCTACAGACTCAGAAAAAAGAATTTGATGTGGGAGATTTAAAAGAATTTATTTCTAGAACTTTGGATGACAAATTTCAAAAATCTCAACAGGAGATAGATGATAAACTTCAAAAATCACATCAGGAGTTTATGCAGGAAATTAATGAAGTTAAAGATATGGTGAAACAGAATCAAAACAAGGTGACCAAAAAAATATCAGAAGTGGCATCTGGCCTGGCAGAATTTATTGGGAAAGTTGATTTTAAAGTTGAAGAACTTAAATCAGAAGTTAATGTTAAGATGAAAGACAATGATTATAAAATTGCTGATGTTGACAATAAAATGCAAAGAGTTGAAAACGAGATTGTCATGATACAATTCAGGGCAATGGAGTTTGCTATACGGCTTCGAGGAATTCGAGAGGAGGAAAGACAGGATTTGAGACAAGTTTGTTCTGAGGCCCTGGCTAAGATTTTACAAGTTAATCCAGATGTGGTTTTTCACAAAATAGACAAAATTTACAGAGTGAACTCTTGGGTGGCCAGACAAAGACAATTACCTAGAGATGTGGTCATATATTTTACAGATAGAGAAATAAGAAACGATATCCTGCAAAAATCCTTTTACACTTCTGTGCAAGTGGGGGGCTCACGAATTGGAATTTATAAAGAATTGCCTCCTAAAATGCTGAAAGCTAGAAAAGAATTTGGCTTTCTTGTTAAGGAATTGCAAAATTTACAGATACCTTTCCGGTGGGACGCACCAGTTGGCATAATTTTCAGATACAAGGGAGAAAGATACCGTTTGAATACCGTGGAGAAGGCACAGCACTTCTACACTACTATTCTTAAGGAAAGAACACCATCTCCACGTACATCTACAGTTTTGGAAATTAAAGAGAGTGAAGAGAAGCAACCTCAACGAGAACTGCAAGAACAGTCTAAGCAGGAATTAGAAGAAGTGCAAGGTGCAGAAGGAGGTTTTCTGGATGAGCCCTTGCTGGAATCTTCTCCAATCTTGGACCCGGTTCGGATGATTGAAGTTAAGGATCAACGTATAACTCGAGCTCAAGCTAAGTTACTTAAACAAAAGCAACAACAACAACAGGAAAGACAAGACAAGGAGGCAGATAAGAGTACTGCACAAGAGACCGGAGCTATGGGAGGAGCGAGATCGAAGCTTTCGGATGATCTTCAATTATTTTGCTCTTTGCTCCAGAAAGAGGCTGATGATGTTTAAGTGTTTATCCTGGAATGTTAATGGGTTGAATTCAGCACAGAAAAGGAAGAAATTATTTACATATTTGAAACAATTTAATAATGATATAATTTGTTTACAAGAAACGCATATCACAACTCAAGATCAAAAATATTTGATAAACTCCAAACTAGGAATACATTTTATATCTTCAACTTCGCAAAAAAAGAATGGTGTGGTAATTTATGTAAATAAAAAGTTAACAGCTAAAGTTATAGAAACAGATGAAGATGGTAGGTTTGTAGCAATTGAATTGTCTACAGCAAATGGCCAAATTCTTCTGATTGGGATTTATGCTCCCAATCAACAACAGGATTATTTCTACAAGATGTTACATACTAAAATATTGCAATGGGATTACAGATCTATTTTAATTATGGGAGACTGGAATGGAGTAATCGACTCTAAATTAGATAAAAAGAGTTTGGCAAAGTCTAGAATCAGATTACCACAGACCTTTTTTGACATGAAAGAAGATATGGAACTAAAAGATGTTTGGAGAATACATAATCCAAAAGAATTGGACTATACTTTTTTTTCTGACAGACATAGATCCTTCTCTAGGATTGACTTTATTTTGTTGACAGATGATTTACTTGTTAAGACAAAAAGAACAAAGATTTTTCCAAGAACTTGACTGACCATAGCCCAGTATGGATAGAAATTGAGATGGACAAGGTTGAGAGACGCTCTTGGAGATTAAATGAGAATTTGTTTAGATATGAAAAAAATACAACAGAACTTAAAAAGCATTTGAAAGAATTTTTTGAAATAAATTTGAATAAAGGTACCCCAATTGAAATTGTGTGGGATGCAAGTAAAGCTTATATGAGAGGGGTACTTATCTACATGAACTCTAAACATAGACTGTTCCGACAAAAGAAAAGATCTGAACTGGAAATAGAAATAAAGAATAAAGAACAGTTACTTATTAAAAATCCAACAGATGAAAGAATACGTAGTGCTATAAAACTTTTGAAAGACCAATTTCAAATGCTTATGGCGGAACAAGTTGCAACAAACTTACAATATGCGAAGCATAACACATTTTGTAACGCTAATAAACCGGGCAGATGGTTGGCTTACACATTGAGGAAAAAACAAAGTATACGGACTATTGATAGTATTGATATTGGAAGGAAAGAAATCTTTCAACAAAAATTAATTAAAGAAGCTTTTGTGGACTATTATACTAAATTATATGCTAAAGAGGAGGTGCAGAATGGACTTACAGAAAAATATTTAAACGATAAAAGAGTTACAAAAATTACTGATCAACAAAAGGAAAGAATGAATTATCCTATAACAGAGGAGGAGATAATAGTAGCAATTAAACAGTTAAAAATAGCCAAAGCTCCCGGCACGGATGGCTTGACTGCAGTGTATTACAAAACTTTGCAAGCTGAAATGGTGGAACAACTTAGAGATTTATTTTGCAATATTCAGCAAGGGGGTAAAATACCCTCATCATGGACAACAGCTTACATATCTTTGATACCAAAAGAACAAATCGGTCCTAAAAAACCAGAGAACTATAGACCAATATCTCTTTTGAATACAGATTATAAAATTTTTGCGAAAGTACTAGCCAACAGGTTGATGCCAGTAATTCAAAAGGTGATTCATGATGATCAAGCGGGATTTATCGAGGGCAGATATATGAAGGACAATGTAAGGCAAGTAATAGATTTATTGGAATATCTTGAGAAGAATAAACAGATCCCTGCAGTGCTGGTCTTTTTGGATGCAGAGAAGGCCTTTGATAGAGTGGATTGGAATTTTCTATTAAAGACTTTGAAAAAGATGGACTTTGGGGATCAATTTATACAGGCGATTTCGGCAATTTATCAAGAGCAAAAGGCACAGATCATTATTAATGGAAGTCTGACAACAGAGTTTAAAATTGAAAAAGGAACAAGACAGGGATGTCCGTTGTCCCCACTTTTATTTATTTTAACACTAGAAGTCTTGCTAAATACAATACGGGACTCTAATATCTTGAAAGGTATAAAGATTAGGCAAGAGGATTACAGAATAAAGGCATTTGCAGATGATCTGGTTGTTACCCTATCACAACCAATGGAATCAATAATCTTGATGAAGGACATTATACAAGACTATGGTAAAGTTTCAGGTTTTAGATTGAATCCAAAAAAGACTAAAATGATAGCTAAAAACATGACACAAGATCGTAAACGTGAGCTTGAAAGGAGGGCAGGTTTTGAGACTGTACCTAAGGTAAAATATCTAGGAGTTCAGGTTGCAGAATCAAACATGAAATTGTTTCAAAATAACTATGAGGTGTTGTGGCGAGAGGTGCAGAAAGATATGGAGACTTGGAAAAAACTGCAGCTGTCTCTACTTGGAAGAATAGCAGCAGTTAAGATGAATATTTTGCCAAGATTTCTTTTTTTGTTTCAAATGATTCCGGTGCTTAAAAGTGATAAACAACTGAAAGTTTGGCAGTCTGGTGTGAATAAGTTTGTCTGGAACGAGAAGAAGCCGAGAGTGAAATTGAAAATTATGCAAGATGTTCCAGAAAGAGGAGGTCTTAAACTTCCAAACCTACAGCTATATTATGATGCAGCAGCTTTAACTTTAACAAGTGATTGGTTTGGAAGTAAAAAGGCTGGAATATTGAATGCAGAAAGTTTTGATCTTGAATTTGGATGGCATGCTTACTTATTTTATGATGACAAAGTTGATAAAGTATTTAAAAGTCATATACTTAGAGA